AGTTTCAACAATGGCAGCTATCAAATAATGTAAACAATGTCAAATAATGCAAATGAACTGGTATTCACTCAAGAATGAAAGCATAATCTCATATCAGTACCTAGCTTTGGCAACGAAAGGTCACACTGAAATATAACATTGATGCTGATTTTGAGCATATCCAAGCGTACTGAATGAATTTTAAACTTGTCTGTGCCCTATTGCTTCCTCTAAGAAACCACTTAACAATCCTGAATTGAAAAAAAGATGAAAATATAATTAATAAACACTGGACCAGCAACAAACTGACAGTAAAAGAGAAAAACACACTCATAAATATAATTTGGAATAAAGATACAACAGTACACTTGATTATACCACAAACCTATAAATGAAAACCTACACAACGACATGATGCGGTGCCTGGACAGTCATGCCTCGTGTCCAGCACTCCACCGATTCAGAGATGCCTCAAAAGCAGTACGACCATGTTGTAATCCTGTGGATTCAGCTTAATGCACCTTGTCAACAAGATTTATAATTTGATCCTTGATAGCAAAGTAAACTTTGAAGCTCTCCTTCAGAACTTGAAAGTTGATATAATCATAAGCAACGGTTACACCGACATTTATGAGACGATACAGCTCCGAATCAGGTTTAAATATAAGCAACAGAAAAAATGAAATCCATAACCAGAGGGTCTCTCAGCGCCTATGTGACTCAAAATTAAAATATCAGTAATAGGAGATTCAACACCTCATAGTCCAAGTTACACTTATTAATTATGCATATTACTCCATCTAGAAAACATTTTGCTCAGATATTAAAATCACCAAGGAATTTGCTTCATTGGAACATATCATTTAGTGATTTAGCTAACATATTTATAACTAGAAAAGTGCTATGCAGTCAACTTTATAATTAGTGGCAAGTTCACTACTTACCAAGGCTAGTGCATACTTGTATCACATAATTTGGAACAGCTGCCCCTTTAAGCTACCCCTTCAGGCTGTGTTAAAAACAACGAAACAAGAACAATATAACAATATAAAGAACTTTTAGAAAAGATATAGTATCATATATATTATGGCAGGGCCATGAGAAAAGCACGATCATTTCTTAAGTAATTTCCCCAAATGTTTGTTTACATTTAAGGCCATACATCCAAATACTAACACGCTAGTGCTCCAATTCGTAAAGAACATTGACAGAAGAAGAATGTGTTGTAACAATACTGAGTTTCTTCTCTATCTCGGTATTGTTAGAGAAGAAATTGCAAAATGTAAAACAACATACCGCCACGTATGAAAATAGTCACATCACGTGAATTTTCAGTTTCAATATAAATCATTTTATCCTTTGTTGTACCAAAAGCTCTCTCTCGAACTAGTCCAGCCTGTATTCGATCATCAAATAGCTTAGGAGAAAAACTTAAGTTACATAAGATCCAATTACTGATCGAATTATCTCACGTTTTTTACTTTTGATTTAAAAGCAGCAATTTGATCCTCCAAAAAGGGAGGGAATATGAATAGAGTTTCTGACCTAGCCAATAGAGTTTCCTCAAAGATTTAAGTGAAAATTGATTTTTTATTGAACCAGCAAGCAACCTAAGTCCTTTCGCAATTGCTTGTTTAAAGCCATACTCAAATTCTAAACATTCACGCTTTGCTTCCTAATTCAAGCGGACGAAAAAGAAAAAAAAACGTTGAAACGAAAATGAAAGTTGGAATAATCTATACCTGAACAAAAAGTCTCATTGGTATACCTGCAATTTTCATTGACATACCTGCAAATCAAAGGAGGTAAAGATAGACCGAGTATAATAAATACATGCAATTTTCATTGACACACCTGCAAATCAAAGGAGATAAAGATAGAGGTGTTGAGCTAAAGATTGAATACCTACTGGAAAGCTTCTCCGTCCGTCAATCAACTAGTCTTGAGCTTGCTTCCGCTATTAACAAATCTAGAAAACCCAATTCTGAAAAACCTGTCTTTTTGTTTTGCCTTGGTGGGAATAACTGAAAATGGCGAGGAGAAGCTTGTAGCAGTGGCCAGGCACATAGAGAAGACTCTAGGTCACACTGATACCATGAATGATGATATTCTTCAGATTTTCTCCAACTTCGATGGCCGGTTGAAGGAGAAGCTCACCGAGGATGACTCTCGCGGCTGCGCTGCGCTGAAGCTCACCGAGGATGACTCTCGAGAAGTTAGGGTTCAAAAAGGAATACTCTGCAGGCCGGCCCATAAGTAATACTCCGTATGAATACTGACACGCGTCTGGCTTCAAATATACTCCGTAAAAAATGTCTAGTGTCACTGCTTGATGTTCATGTATTTTTTTAGAAAATAGTGACACTTTTGTGTCATTAATGATATTTTATCAGAAAGTGTCACAATAAAAGTGTCACAATAAAATCAGGATTAGTCATATATATGACTAATCCTGATTTTGGATCGTAGGCTGGCAGAAACATTCACCTCAATACAAAACGTTTTCGTGGACGGCCGGGAAGCCCTAGGGTGGGTATATCAGTTTTAATCGATTTTCCAATCAGACCAACGATGAAAAAAGAGTAAAATTTTTAAACAAATGAATGGGAAAACTATCTAGGGAGATCCAAACCGGGGTTACAGGCAATTCAGTGTTTGGCATGAAGGCAGGGGTCCATTGTGTGAGCCTGGTTTCAAAACTATAAGGGACATTATGAACATGTACCCAAAACTCAGCTTCATTTTAACTTGTCTTAAGCGGAGTATCCTCATGTCTCACCTCTTTTAGAATCAACAGATTCCTCTCAAATTGCCACGGGCCAACATCTAAAACACGTTTTATATCCACAATATGATAGAAAGTAAATAGATACATTTTTTCGCCAATCTCTTTAATCGTCACACCTTTTCCCGATCTTCACAGCGAAGCCATAAGCTCCTTAAACACTGGGAACTTGATCTTTCGGTCTGTCAATAGAGCACCCACAACCGAAATTTCGGCCAAGTCTCCTCCATTGATGGTTCATCAAGCTCGATCTCATCCAGATTCAGTTCATCAAGATCCCCTCTTATAGCCATCCTCTTGTATTGATCAACAATTTTTTTTTCATCCAACGATGCTTGCTTCACGCCAAGAAGCCGAAGCCCTCAGCCGGACTCCCCATACTCCGCCCTCCTCTCGGAGAAGAAGATCTCGCTGCTACCCCCACCGCTAACTTCCACCGTCTCTGACCTCCGCTACCTCTCTCCTTCGTCTGATGCTGGAGTGGAAATCTTTTAAGGACACACTCAAAGTAGTAAGGTCTAGACCACCTTGAAACCATGATAAATTCCTTATGTTATCCTTATCATTAAATTTCATTTCTCACCAAGAGTGCATGATTTTCAAGAACGGATGCTGGGGCGAGTCCAAAGTGATGATAACCAACCCGAGTCCAAAGGTTATCTCCTCTGTCCTTATCTTGTCTGTACCGAGTCCACCGTCAACCCCAAGGTCTTGACCCCCGGTCTCAGATATGCTCAACGCGGACTCAGAACAGATCGACATGTTAAACTCAAACTGAGCCTCAAAGGATATGTCCCATTGTACTCGACAAAACATAACGTTCTCATTCCTCGTATATCTTCCAACAACTTAGAGCTCATGTAGATATTAACTCAAGATTAAGGATCTTCATACACGCTGATTGTCAACAGGACCGTTTGTACTATTGAACTTGATGGATTGAGTATTGGCAGAATTATTGGTGGGTGAGTTCGATTGAGAATTATGATAATTTTATGATATACTAGCTAATCCTGATTAAGATTTACGCACGTCTCATTCAATTATTGACGTGTTCAACGATCAATGCATTTTTATGATCTCTTTAATAGTGATTTTGTATGAATTCAACATTTATTATATTCTCGGGTGTTTTTACTTTGACTTATATCAGTTCTAGATCAGATTAGACCAGTTCAAATCAGACCAGATCAGACTTCGAGAATTGTAAAATACACAGAGACCAGACATTTATTAGACCAGATCATATTAGATCAGAAAAATTCACTCCAAATGGATGTTAAAAACATCCTCGCATGCTTATATATACTAAATAAAGTAACAATATCACCTCTTCATGTTTTTTCATAAAATTATACGTAGTACTATCTATTGAATAATCAAATACATTTCTATTACATTTTTATTGAGTTTCATAAAGGTAATGACGTTTTCTCTCTCTAGAAATATATCAATAGATTCAATGTCTGGGCATCGTTTGTGGTAAATTATATCGTAAACTCGTCTGTACCATGCACACGGTACAATTGGGCTTTTCCTTCTCGCCGGACTTCTTCGATCTCGCTTCGCTTCTTCGATCTCACTTCGCACCATGTTTGCTGCTCGTAGTCACCGCTCACCACTCGCCCCATTCTCCCCCGACTCGTTGCTCGTCGCCATCGCTCACCACTCGCCCCCTTCTCTTCCAGCACGAACGAAGCGGCTCTGCCAGGTGTATACTCCAGCGCTAGTTATCTCTACTCCCTCTCTCTTTTTCTCTACTCTTTTCCTTTTTCTCTTATTCTTACGCATATGTGGCGAGTCTGGTCTCTTGTTTGCTACATGTTGCGAGGAACCTAAGACACCTACATAGTTTTACTGATATGAGCATACACAAATGAAAAGTTGAGCATAATAGAGATTTTAAATGAACTTTTAGATTTTTTCGATGCTCATGTCGTAATTAATGTATTCTCATTTGATGTTGGTGTAATACTCAATTTAAAATGTCATATTCATGCATATTTCAGAAGTATAATAGTACATTAAATTCACACATTGGATTCATACGGGTTCATTGTAGATATTTTAAAAAATAAGAAAAAGAAAGTAAATCACCCTATCCGATCAGCTAAAATTGTCTCATTTTACCAGTTCGAGAAATTTCACTAAAATGACCCATATCAAATTTGGTAAACTTGTATGGGTCATAACTCATTACTTTATCAATTCTGGACATCATAAACTCATTTTTTTTATAATTGTGACATGCCTTCTTCTCTGATGTTAAGGAAAATCACAATTTTGGCTTAGAATCACGAAAATGCCAGCCGGCTCATACCAGGTACCTGATTCACTTCGGCCGACTTCTCGCCTGCCCCCTCTCAGTTGGCTTCCCGCCTAAACCTCACTCCAAAGACTCTTACCGCTGCCTCAATCTGGCCGTGTCTGAGGCCCTTTGACCTCGTTCCTCCTCTCCTACTCGGTAAACCCTGATTTCACTGTGCATCTCATTGTAGGAATTATACCGTATGCTCAACAGATTACTCATTACTTCAGCGTAGTGTGGAGTTGTAGGAGAAAACATGGAGAGAATTCACGTTTCCGTTAGGGCGAAACCACTATCTCTTGAGGAAGCCAAGACCAGCCCTTGGCGAATCTCTGGAAATTCAATTTTCCTCTCAAACCAGACTACACCAAAATTTGACTTTGGTAGAGCACCGTTTTTCTTTTGCAGAATTTTTTGTTTATATATTGCATTTCTTTCTCCCGAATCTGTTAGTTTCCAACTACTCAAAATAAAACTTCACTATTTTCTATTTAGATAGAATATTTGGGGAGGAATGCAAGACATGTGATATTTACCAAGCTCGAACAAAGGAGATTGTTTCAGCTGCTGTTAAAGGATTTAATGGTACTCTTAGTTCTTCAAATTTGTTTATTTATTTTTACCCCAGTCACCTGTTATTTCTTCTTACCCTGACTTATTCCTGACATTGTATTATATACAATAGCATCTCGATAACACATACATTTATTTCATGTTATGTATCATGGCTTTCTTTTGTTATCTTTAGAGAGGTCGGTAGATGAGATTAGAATGGCATGAACCAAGAGATATAAATACTGTTGTTCAGTCTATTTCCATTTCCATATCATATTTGAATTAAGACCCCCCACTTCTCCTTCAGATATTTCCCCATTTATTTACTATCCTTTTATTGATCTTCTCATATACCCATGCATCTGCTTGAATAGGAACTGTATTTGCATATGGCCAAACAAGTAGTGGAAAGACGCATACCATGAGAGGTTCAAGTTCTGAACCAGGAGTCATCCCTCTGGCAGTTCATGATCTTTTTAGATTCATACAAGAGGTTGTTTTTTTGAGCATTCAAATCCTTTCTCAATGTACTCGAACTCATTTTTATTTTTTTCAATAGAACAACACTATCCAAATTAGATCAGATCGAAGAAAAATCTCTAATATGAAAGGGATTACAAAATGCATATTTTACTAGTGATTGCATTTGATCTTGTATTTTGATGGAGGAATTTTTCTTATGTCATAATCTTGACTTAAAAGAACGAACAAAAGTATATATAATGACTAACATTGCTTAGTAGATAGGGACTTTGGTAGCCAATGCTTTGATTAATTTTAATTCTTAAATTTTGCATTCTGCAACCAATAGCTAAATGGTTCATTGCCAATTGCCATCATTACTAACTGTTTTTCTCTGTATCATGTTTCAAAATTTCACTATGTTAATTGTCGATGTGGACTGAGTTTAATGGATATCATTACCCCCTTCTAGACTCAAATGTCCCTAAGAAGTCATCATCTGCATTAAGGAACCATTCAGAGTTTTTATTTAAATTTAGAAAACGAACCATCAATTTTTTTCTTTTGTTTTTAGGAAACGGATCGAGAATTTCTTCTAAGAATGTCATATATGGAAATATATAATGAAGAAATAAATGATTTGTTAGCTCCTGAGCATTGGAGATTACAGATCCATGAAAGTATTGAGGTAGCTACTTTACATTCTCTTCCATATACTTATCTTAGAGTAGAAGCTTTATGTTTTCAATAATTCAATCTATATGCCTTATCTCCAATTATCTTCCCAAATAAAGCGCGGGATATTTGTTGCTGGCTTGAGGGAAGAGATTGTTGCTTCTCCAGAACAAGTACTTGAGCTTATGGAGTTCGGAGAATGTGAGTCCTCAACTTCCTCTTGACTGAGTTTTATCTTGGCTCCTTTGTCAATGGTCTCAGGGCCTTCTATAGCATCTTTAAGGACCAATACATATATATTACACTTTTTTTGAGGTGTAATCATATTAGTGTGTTTTGTATAACAACAACAATATCCAAGATTTTAGTGTGTTTTTATATAACACTGTGTTTTGTATATAATATTCCATGCCACCAATACCAGTGTAGTTGGGTGCAAATTATTGATTATGATGATGATGAGTGCCTTACGTGATAAGGTTTTGGACTTTTTGTCATTCGACCTAATTTGTAAACATTTCCAATTTTCAAATAAGAGCATATTAAATTCTTTTGTTTTAGCTGCATAGCATTTTAAGGTTAAGTTGTGTTTTTTGTCCCTATAATTTGCATTGGTTTCGGTTTTAGTTCTTGTTTTTGACTTTTTGTGCAAATTAAGTCTTTGTAAAATATTGTTATTCCTATTTGGTCCATTTTTATTCAGTTTCATTCAGCTTCTACCAGCCTTTAACTATACGATTCAACTTATGGTTAGGACTCCTGTAATGGTTATATTGTGGTCCTACGTTTATCTAACATACTACTTCTGTAGATTTAACTCTTGATTGTCATGGCTAGATCGGACACCAAATTAATTCACTTTTAAGCTCGTTGTTAACTAATTCTAGACAATAACTGACACTAAATTTCAGCCACTAACTCTAATGAAGTTTTGGTTAAGGGGTTGATAATATGTGAAAACAGAGTGGGGAATATGTAATCTTTCCTGACAATAGTTTGTTGCAATTGATAACCAATTAATTTCAATTATTTCAATATGGTCTGCAGCCCATCGCCGAACAGGAGAAACAAATATGAATTTGCATAGTAGTAGGTCTCATACAATATTTCGAATGGTATGCAATCATTTTTTCTTGATTGAAATTCTTAATTTACTAAACTCAAATCCCTAACATATCTTCTTGTATAGATAATTGAAAGTAGGGACAAAGCCGAACATGCAAATTCATATAATTCATGCGATGCAGTTCGTGTATCTGCTCTGGTAAGAAATTAGGGCACATCACATTTTAATTATTCTTTTCCATTTAATTTCAACCTCTCTTTTACTAGAGTTTCAGTATTAACTCGTTGTCTCTCCCAGAATTTGGTAGATCTGGCTGGTTCAGAGCGTGCTGCTAAGACAGGAGCAGAAGGTGTTCGTTTGAAAGAAGGTTCACATATCAATAAAAGTTTGATGACATTAGGAACAGTTATAAAAAAGCTAAGTGAAGGTGCTGAGAGCCAAGGGTAAATTTGAATATTGATGGACTTATGGCTCATTGAAATTTATTTACTCATCACACTTTAATGCATCATTTTGATACTTGCAGTGGCCATGTTCCTTACCGAGACAGCAAGCTCACACGTATTTTGCAACCAGCGTTAGGTGGAAATGCAAACACTGCAATCATTTGCAACATAACTCTTGCTCAGGTAACTCTTAAGGAGTTGGTAATGAAGATTTTACTGAAGTTTTTCTTGAATACTCTAATTTAACAATTTTCGTAATACATCTTACATGAGGACAGGTTCATGCAGATGAGACTAAAAGTAGTCTTCAGTTTGCAAGCAGGGCATTACGGGTTACAAACAGTGTTCATGTGAATGAGGTTATGCTCCTGATCAACATTTGATACACAACCAGACTTGTCAATTAGCTTTTGTCTTTTGGCAATATATTGAGAAGACCTGATGGTCGCAGACAACATTGTGATGCCTTTTCCTTTTATAGCTTTATCATGTGTTTTCTATTTCTGTGATTATGAATCTACATTTCTTTACTGTTGATAGGTATTGACTGATGCTGCTTTACTCAAGCGTCAAAAGAAGGAAATTGAGGAGCTTCGAGCCAAGTTGCAGGTTGTGCTAATATTCATGTCTCCTTTTTCAATTTCGTGTTTGAGAAATTATCAAATGTCAACTGACTTGGATACTCTTATATAGGATTCACATTCAGAACATCATGAGGATGAAGTTCTCAATTTGCGCAACACTTTATTGAAGGTTTGCTTTACTTCTTTTCTAGTAGGTTGGATGGATGACATAACCTTACTTGCTGCTCTCCTTGTAGAGTGAATTAGAAAGAGAGCGGATTGCATTAGAGTTAGAGGAAGAAAAAAAAGCTCAAGCAGAAAGGGAGAAACGGCTGCAAGAACAAGCCAAGAAAATTGAAAACTTGAGTACCATGGTGCTGTGCTCGAACAGAGATGAGAGCCATGATGTCCACAAGAAGGTTTTCTGCTCAACCTAAATCTTCTTGACTTAGTTATGTTGATTATTTGAATGGACTTTTAATAGAACTTGGTGACTGTAATGACGGGTAACGTCTAACAATAGGGATCTCCTTGTTACTACTCAAGATATTGCAGTTCATATCTTGCTATAATAGTGCAAGATGTGAACAGTTCATGCTCAAGTATTCTTGTAGCATATCCACGTTTCAGTGTCATGCCTTAGAACCTGTTTTTTTTTCTTGGTGTTCCCTTTAATAGCAGTTACATCACCTGGATTAAGTATTTTCATTCTGAAGCTTCACTACTGCCTTTTTGCATTTGCATTTTTATGCTGAATCTTTTCATTTGTGTATAGTTATTTGAGATTTTGAGTAACTTTCATTCTTAATTTCTTAGTCCTCGACTATGATGATAGTATTTCCCTTTTTACTCCATACACTTTTAATTTGATTACATTCCATCATTGACATTGCATTTTTCAAAATCAGAATCAGTCCTTACTAGGGGTGCAAACAAGCCGAGCTTGAACTTGGGCATGGTCTAGCTCGAGCTTCATAAGAAAGCAATGGCTTGAGCTCGAACAAACCCAATAATGTTGGCTCGAGCTCGGTTCGAATTTCGCTCATTAACTTTTGTAGGCTCGAACTCGAATAAGATGCTCGAACTCGAGCTCAAATTCGAGGTAATTTTTTTTTCTTTTCAAAATTATTAATGTTATATTTATACAAATAAATTAATACGTAGATAAATAAATAAATAAGTGATATAGATAATATGTGCCTATAGATTTAGGATCAAGTGAGAAAGACATCTTAGAAGAGAAATGAAAATGAATCTGGAATGTTGGATTTGAGAGTGGTGCATCATGTAAAACTGAAATGTGCACTGCCATGGATGAAAAAACACGATTGCGTTTATGTAAATAAAGAGAACTTTTTGTAATGTTGCGAAATGTGCATTATCTGAACCAGAAATGGTGTCTGAACCCCACAAATGTGCAACTCCATGGGCCAGAATGTTTACCATTCTTATTTCTCATGGGAAAAATCTCTCATTTGAACAGGACCTTGTGTGTATATGTACATATATATGTGTGTGAATACATATATATATATATTTATTTATTTATTTATTTATTTATTTATTTATTTATTTATTTATTTATTTATTTATTTATTTATTTATTTATTTATTTATTTATTTATTTATTTATATTTATATATGTTGTGGCTTCCAAGCCTCAAGCTTAAAGGAATTAAGCTCGAGCTCGGCTCGAGTTGAGTTTTGACTGAGTGACTCATGAGCAACTTGATTGGTTTGCACCCCTAGTTCTCATCGGGAAACATATGATAAAAGCTGCTACTTACAGGACTTAGAGGCTAACTTGGAAGCCATTAAGGAAGTCTGGTCACAAAAAAAGAACATGACTAAATGTGAAAATATCAACATATAACATAGTTGAGTTCTTGACTATTAAATTTGGATTTAATTTATAGTGTTTCTATATACTAAATATCCCTTCGTGCTGAATTTTATGATGATTAAATTCAAAGAGTAATGTTGATCATAGTATTACTATATTAATCAGGGAAAAGATTCAAATATATCCCTCTACTATTTCAAATTCATCACTTGAGCTCCTTTACTTAAAAAGTATCATATATGTAGGCTTGCTTCAAAAACACAATCAGTCCAGCCATTTTGACGGAATTTGACCTGCTATAGCAGGTTATTTTTGAAAAATAAAATTAAAAAAATTGATAAAACTTATAAAAATTCATATGAATTTGAAAAATAGAGAAATAATAATTTAAAAGCACTAAAAATACCAAAATAGGTAAATAGTTTAAAAGCATTAAAAGAAAAAAATTTGAAAACGTTAAAAATATAAAATTAAATTATATATATATTTTAAAATGTAGAATATAAAAATAATAAAAAATGAAAAAATATAGGTTTGACATTCTTAATGGTTTCTGAACTTTTTATTTCTATTTTTATTAATTTAAAAAATAATTTTAGAGTTTATTCAAAAAATAAAGCTGTTATAGCAGATCAAAGACCGGTTGAATGGCGGGATTGGTCGTTGTTTTAAAGTAAGTATACTTATATGAGTAATTTTTTTAGTATGGGGCTTAAGTGATGTATTAGAAATTGCGTAAGGATTTATTTGGACCTTTTCCCGTATATATTATTATTACTTATATAATAATAATGAAATAATAATTGTAGTATAAATAACGATAATGTAATCATATGTGATGATGGTGTGACGTTGACATGTTGTATGATCTGATGTGGTCCTATACTGAAATAAGTTGAAGAAAACATGTCATTAATATCACTAGATTCTCACCCGTGCGATACACCGAATAAAATGTAGTAAAAATGTATGAGATTTTTTTATACATTAATAGTAACAACAAAGTATTATTACAAATATAAATTGTAATGTTTTAATGATGAGAATAAGTTGCAATAGGTCAAAAGAATTTATATTCAACGAATAAAAAATGAAAGTATGAGAAATGACCGTTATTTATAGTAGAAGTTTCATACCTTTTGCTTAATATTCATTTCGTCTCACGGACTCTGTCAACTTTCTTTATTTAGACGTCATAAAAAACTGTTTCTTTCTATTTAAAGTAATAAATACTCCGTATGTGCTTAAAATTATTTCTCCTTTCCCTTCATAATCTTAATCATACATTTTTTACTTTACTATTTCACGGAGAAGTCAATTTTGGTCAAATTTATGGTACTTGAGAGTATATGACTCGACTCCAAGCTGAGAGAAATAATATGGTATTTCGTGAATAACTGAATACTAAACATTAAAAATTAGAAATATAGGAGCATAATAAATGTAAAATGAAAAATCCAGCAAATTATCTGTTATGTGATATTGGGAAGCTAAATTATAAAATATTTATCACAAGTTATCTATTTTCATGTAATATTTTTTAACTTTCTTTATAAAATATATTTTAATTTTTTTCATAATTTAGTATATTCAGGTAATTCAGCCACTAAAGTCATTTTTTTTAATTTCAACATGTTCATCCAATTCAACCAATTTCAGTGTTACCAAACGGGTCCTAAACACCATGGTTGAATCCATTATAGTTGCGGCTATTTGATACTCCCTATGTCTTTAAGAATTTTGCTAACTTTCCTTTTTTTGGCTGTCCCACTAACTTTGCCACTTTCCTTTTTAAGTAAAGAAGTTGTGGTTTCAGTTAATTCTCTCTCCTCTGCACAAACCTCAATCACACATGTTTTATTTTATTAATCCCGGTGTCGGTCAAACTTGGTCAAGTTTCAAGGCACGAAAGGAGTAATTGGTTAAATCTACATTTGATGAGCCATTAATGATGCTAGCCTACTTAAGCTTATCGGCACTTTTTATGACCAAGAAGTTAGAGGCCTTGTTTTTGGGCAGCTATTGGACGGCCTAGAGTTCAATAATAAGAACTAAACATAATTGATTTGCACTTGGAAATAATTGGTGTCTAGTTGAACGAAATGTGGATGAACAGGAATATAAGATTAGACTTTTTTGGGAGGGAAAATGTACAGTTTTTTCTCTTCGGTTTGTATATAGTAGGATAGGTAATACAGATTTACAGATTAGAAGGTCTATGGTGCTTCCGTAGGACAGTGGTTAAAATGGTATTTAGTTCACTTTTCCATGAGAATTTACATTCTCAACTCTGGGCTCTGTTTTTCATTTTCCATTGAAATAAGCAGGTTAAGCTAACTGACGACATTCCACCTGAACTAATAAATGTGTTTTTCAGTATGGAAAATTAGAAATGAAGGGGTGGAAAGTGATTTACTATACTCGTAAAAGTAACTAAATTCCATCCTGACAAAGTGCCCTCTAATATTAGTGCCTCCACTACTGTTCAGTTTGTTTATTTGCCAAAAGTTTATTTGATGCTGACGACTTTCATTTCATTTAATATAATGCTTTGTGTAATGATTTGCAGGAGAAAAGGCGTGATACATGGTGCCCGGGTAATCTTTCATGGATGAATGCCAAAGAGGTACAATATTGTGTATTGTTGTGTAACATTTTGAGTAAAGTTGTATAAGTAGGGGGTACTAATGTTTATAAGCCGAGGCTTGTGATAAGAGCTTTGCTATTTACGACTCAGGCCAGCATTCAATACGAGCCCTTACTACAAATAGCTCTGCTTAGAGAGAGTCTTAGAGAAAAATAATACAAGTATACAACTATGGGCAGCTTTGAGTATTTGTTAGGGACCTAGGTAGTATGGGATACCAAAAGTACCAAACCGAGTAGAATGGGATGCTTGGTGGGGCTCTTAAGTGCCTGGTTCTCTCACCTTAACAGCTAGCTTTTGGGGTGTGGCTCTCCAAGGTGCATAAGTTAATTTCTCATGACCATTACATGATAAAAGCATGACCTGCATTATCTCTTTTTCTCACCTCTCAGTTAACTGATAGAGGGAGCCCCATTCCAATACTCCCATGCATTCCAAATTCCTGTAGCTATAGTCTGTTGTATTCATCCATCATTTAGCTAGAAAGTGACACTTCTTTTCTATCAGTAATTTGAGAAATTTTGATTCCCCCCCATTCATCCAAGCTTATAACAATGTTATTCTTTGATCTTCAGTTGTACCCAGCAGTTAAAGTAGATCTCTCTGCAGTCAAACCCATGGGAGCAGAGCATGAGCGGTGCTCCCTTCTTCCTTTCGAAGAATTACTGGATCCTGATTCTGCCGGTGTCTCATCCCGTAAAGAAAAGGGTTTTCATAATATCCAATCAGAAGAGTTTAGTGTTCCTGAGCATCGAGCTATGGTTCATGTTACTAGCAGGAGAAAGGGGATCCCCAGGAAGAAAATCCTGCAAACTGTAAATCTTATGATCTTTTATATTTTTTGCTGCATGTTGACTTGGTGGTCATGTGATCTCGACTAATCCCCATTCCCCCCTCCCTGCTCCCCCCAAAAGGCACACACACACACACACTCTCAGCACCACACCACTTAAGGAGAAAAGGAAATCAGTTGAGATGGCAAGCACTGTGTGAGGAACTGGTTTTAGATTTTGAAGCACATGTAATTTGATTATCTTCTTTCTTTTTTTTCTTTTTTAATTCTATAATAGTAGCTGAGATTACATGGCGAAGTAGGACTGAACCTGAAATTCCCATATAGATTTTCAATACTATTCTCTACAATATTAGTTCTGTATAAGAACCTCTTCAATCAATTTCATATTTGTGTTAATTTTTGCCAGCAAACTGTGAATGAGACGCAAATTCATGGTTTGACAAGGAAGGTTGCTGATGACGAGGCTCTTCAGATTGACAAAGTTAATGATTGTTCAATGCACTATAACAGTGACAAGATTCTCCTGTCGGGGAACAACTATTTAAGAGAGTCAGAAGCTATTCTTGTAATTAAACAGCTCCAGGAAAAGGTGTTCATCTACTTTATTTTCCTATCTTCTGTTCTTCACCTTTTTAATATATTTCAAGATAATGCAATCTCTAGATAGTTGGGTTCTCAATATTGCTACCTTGTCTCGAAATCATACAATTACTACATTATACTGAAGTGCATCTAATCTTTTTCAGATCAGAGTTTTAGAGAAGGAGAGATCCTCAAGCCAAGAAAGTTTGGACAATGTAGTTGAGTTAGCAACTGAGCAAACATTATCTGCAAGGGTGAAATATGAAGAGGTAATCAGGGTAAACACATTTATTGGTTGCTATAAACTTTGAGGTATTCTGAATACCGTAGTCAGTATACAAACTCTATAGAAGTACTCAAGTACCAAACATAAGCATTTACATTTTGGGATTGGTACTTCAAAAGATTGAGTAATATTATTTATTGCTCGCTTCTCCTCAAGTACCACTCTCCTCTCCCCCAAGGAATGGCCTTATCCGAAAGGCTTGGTTTATTAAATCTGACTTCCATTTAAGTATGTTAAGAATTAGTCCATATTTGCACAATTGCACATTGACATACCTACCCCCTGGGTGTTGGATATAAAATCTTCAAGAAGTAAATTGCATTGCATCAAATACCTAAAAGTTAAGTCATGACCCTGACAAATGTGCACATATTAACTAATTTGGGAGAATTACTTGGCCATTGTAATGGAGACTGAAAGTAATTCAAACTTACTGTTATAGACTTATAGTACGTTTTTCATTTAGTGATTATTCTGTTCTCCTCTAACTATATCTATAAGAATATATTTCTATTAAAGTTATTTATATTCAGTTTTGTTAATTTATGTTAAATTACAGTAATTAATATTTGAAAAGTCAAAACAATAAATCGAACTAGGATATAAACATTGCGTACATGTTGAAACCTTTCTGTCATCAACCAGAGTTTCCACCAAACACTAACTTGTTTGACTGCGCTGGGTGAAAGAAATGATGGAGAAGTTACTTATTTTTCTGAAATGGATGAAATTGAAGAAAATAACACATCCACATCCGCGAGGATTAAAACTCAGAAGTGTATTGAGGGTATAAATTGGGGATTAAAAGTGCCGTTTTCTGTATCTTATGTGGTGGATAAGGATTACTAATGGAAAAAATGACATTCTAGTGCTTACCTATATCTACTTACTACCATTTTTTCAAAAGAAAAAGAAAAAGATTTCATGTTTCAATTCTACCCGTTTAAATTTCTCAAATTTAAAATACCTAAAGCGGAATTTGATTAAATTGACGCACAAAACAAATGAATTTGATAAAGAAACAGTAGAAGCAAAAAACTCTACGGGATTGGGGGTTTATAACTTATTTGACATATTCAATTCCTAGGGATCTTAAAAGTAATCTTTATATAGATTTATCAAGAGTTATTAGATGCAAAAGAGGAGGCAAAGGAAGCCAGAGAGCAACTTGCTTCAGTGCAATTTTCTAATGTAAGTGAAATGCATTATTTAAAGTTATATTCGTTAACTTGCATGTCACACTTAGATTTTTGACTAAGTTTACCTCAATATCAACTTCCTTCAGGAGAAGAACTCGGAGAGCCAATTTCTGGCAGAAGTTCAGGAAATGATGACAGAAGTTGAAAGTTCGAGAAACCTTATTGATTCTACTGTTCCAGTTATAGTGGATGATCTTTTTCAATTATACTCTAACATATCCAGTTTAATGAATGTGAGTGAAGTATGAACTATTATAGTATTGTCCCGTGTGAACATTCAATAGTGCAAGTGTATATGTATGTGGTGCCTAAATGGATATTTCATTAATGAAGACCCAATATTTTCGGTTAATCTTTATTTTGGTATTCCCATTTCAGGAATTTAAGGCCACAATACCTGAAAGTTCCATGCAAATAAAATCAATCACTAAAAGCCAGGAGAAATTATGCTCTTGCTTGAGTGCGAAAATTAATGAACTTGAGGATGAGAAGGTATGGTTTCACACTTGTTGATTTTGTTCTTCATTTTTCCATTTTTGAATGTCCCCCTATTATTGTCCCATACCATATTTGGTAACATTTGTGTGGCTCCAATTCATTCTTACTTTATTTCCACTTTATCAACTCATTATTAATCACATAATTCTACTTTTCTTAAAAACCACACCACTCCCTTCCGTCCCAATATTAGGGGGACAGAGGGAGTAATATCTTTCATTTCCATAAGTCAAATGTATTCTTATTCTTCTGTATATGAATCAACTAAAATATAGGTGCTACTGCACAAACAAAATTTGGACCTTCAAGTTCAGATAGAACAACTACAAAAAGTCATCCAGGATTCTGAGGATGCATTTGTTGTAAGTCACCTCACTTTATTGTATAGGATTTGTTTTTAATCCTATATGGTGTTTGTGCTCTGTTAGACTGTCATTGTCACTGATGCTAGCAACTATTTTCCAGGAACACTCAGAACTATATGAAGGCGAGAAGTTTGAGCTTCTTTCTTATATTGGTAGTCTTCAGAAAGAAATATCAAGCTTATCTTCTTCATCCCTTAACAGGGAGAAGGAATCACTTAGAAAAGATTTGGAGAAAACAAAAGCAAAGTTAAAAGATACAGAAGCAAAACTGAAGAATGCCATTCAAGAGAAAACAAAACTCGAGGTCTCATTCTGTGTGCTTGAAATCTGATTTAATTTGAATTTTGTACATCAAAAGCTATAGCACTTCCCTTTTCTGCCATGTTTTTATTAGAGTGAAAAAGCTTGTGCGGAGAGGGAAATCAAACTCTTGCATGGACAGAAGGCTGTTTTTGAGCGTGACGTAAACAAATATGACTCCCTCATTGGAAGAAGGCGCGATTCTGCTATTGATAGGGGCTCAAATGCATTTGAGGCAAAAAGGGCCAAGGGATCATCCTCTTTAGCGGAACTGAGTATGCAGGTTGGGGATGACTGAGCTTGAAATAAACCTCCAAAATTATACAAGTACTTTCAGTAGTGTTTCTTTTTGCAGTACTTGACTGCATGCCAACATACGATATTTATGCTTTTATTCTGTAGATGATATATATATATATATTTATTTATTTATTTTTAACATTATTTTTGTAGGAAGACTTCAAGAAACTTGAAGTCCTTGCGTTTGAGATGGAGGCAACTATTGCTTCACTGGAAGAGGAACTAGCAAACTCAAATAAGGAAAAAGAAGAGGCAGAGAGTAGAGCTGAGAGTTTGGCATCTGACATACAGACATTGTCCGATGAATTAGATGTGTCCAAAGCAGAGCTAAGTGCTTTGAAGGAAGAGGTTTTGCATCTTGTAAGTTTTTCATTGCCTTTGACACAACTCGGTTGGTATGTACTTGAAATTTAACAGATCTTGTCTGTTGAACATGCTACACTTAATTTTCCATGTATCCCAGACATCAACTTTGGAGGAATCTAGGTCTCATCATCAGGGATTGAAAAGCACCATAAATGCATTGTCTGGAGAGAAGGATGACCTTGCAATGGTATGGGATTGCTTATGGCTTAATCAATTGTATTTGGGAAGTGTCCATAATTGCTCTGATTTATGATTCATGGATGGTTTCATTTTGTTGCAGCAACTTGCTGATGCCCTTTTAAGTATAGAGGAGGAAAAGGTTATATGGTCTGCCAAGGAAAAAGCTTCAGTTGAAGCCATCGAAGAAAAAACAGACTTATATAATGCTGAGATTGCCTCTCTATCCAAGGGATTGTCTGAGGTAGCCTTCAAGCTTTTATACTCAAACTCCTTGTCGAAAGGTGTTGTAGATAAACACTTATGCTTTTAGGTAGAATTTGATTTTGTATCTCTCTAAATTGTTGAACCTTGTACTTGAAGCTGAAAAGGTAATAAATTAGGCTTTTCTGACAAATGTGCCCCATACAGGTGCAACATGAACTTGAAATTTACCGAGAAGAGTGCAAGCTCCTAAAAGAAAGTTTGACACGTTCAGAGAGAAGTGCATCACTTGAAAAAACTTTCTGGTTTGTCTTATCTTTGTTTGTCTGGTCTCATGTTTTAGCTTCTAGATGCATTTTCATGTTTCTTTTGCTCATACAACCTTTCTGTGTTTTTCCCACGGTAATACATATCATGCTTTTCAACAGTATTGAGAAATCACTAGAGATTGATCAGATCCGAAATGAACCAAGAGTTGTCGAGGAACACAGCACAAAAACGCAAGAGGTGATTTTTAGTGCAATCATGTGCGACCACTTTGTCATAAGCTAAAATTTACATCAGATGCTAATTTGTTCTTATATACTCAGGCGTTGAAATCAGAACTGCAAGTTGTCTTGTTGGAACACCACAGCACAATAGAAGAAGTAGAGAGACTTAGGATGGAATTAAGCATGCTCAGCAAAGAAAGGGAAGGCCTACTAGCCCGAGCCAAAGAGTTGGATTTGGGAGATGATTTTCAGGTTTTGGCATTTTGTATAATTCTGTGTGATTGCTTTTTCATGATTCATGAGCTCATAGTTACATACTTACATTGGATGCAATTTGACATACGTACTCAGGCGTTGAAATCACATCTGGAAGTTGTTTCCATGGAGCACCACAACACAACTGAAGAGGTAGAGAAACTTAGGATGGAATTAAGCATGCTAAGCAAAGAAAGGGAAAGCCTATTGGCCCGAGTCAAGGAATTGAATCTGGGAGATGATTTAAAGGTTTGTTTTCCCCTATTACCCACTTGACTCTGATTCGTAAAGTCTCTGTTAGGAATGAGCCTATTATTAGAAATAATAATAAGTGGGCCTATTATTGTAAATAATAATAAGTGGGCGTTTGTATTATAAATAGAAGTACTATAAATAGAAGTCGGGAGTCTAAGAATGGTAGGCAACTATTCTGTTGAGAATAGGCTGGGAGATTGGGCATCTCGAATAGTCCGAGGCTTGTATACGTTAGATATTGTCTTCTTCTTCTTCTTCAATAGATCTTGTCCCTGTAAATCTACTGTAATTGTAGTCTGATATATCAGTGTTCTAACATTGGTATCAGAGCATACGTTTCTGGTGATCGTATTAGTGATCGGAAAAGATACGCAACATCAGAAATTTCTCCGTTTCAGCTGTGGATGGTCTGGACAGAGCAAGAATGGTAAAGAAGGTGGATTCGCGGGAGAACAGGGTGGATTCGCTGGAAAGGATGCAGGTATCGATGAAGAAGAAATTATCAGAAATAAGAGAGATGGCGGAAAACATAACCAGACAGCTAACTGCGAGGAATGAACAATTTCAGGGGAGAGGGAGATCGCGAGTGGTTACTACTGGGTCGAAGATGTCTTCACCATCCGCTCCTCACACTTCCAGTTCTAAGGCTTCGTCACGAACTGTTTATCCTCAATCATCTTCATCGCAAATCTTTTCTCCCGGTTCGCAAACTGTATCGCAAACTCCTCAACAACCTCATACGCGAGCTTCGATCAGTCCAGTAGCTTCAAGAGGTAATTCAGTTCATTCTAATGTTCATAATCATGGGCGTAGTGATGAACATATTAGAATACCTGGTGGAAAGGTAGATTTACCTCTGTTTAATGGCGAAGGAGCCTATAACTGGATTATACAAATAAAGAGGTATTTTCGGTTAAATGACTTTGAAGAGGAAGAGAAGGTTGAAGCTTCTAGGGTTGCTATGGAAGATAGGGCTTTGAATTGGTTTCATTTGTGGGAAAATCGGATTGAAGAAACTAATTGGGACACTCTGAAGAAATCTATCATTCGTAGATTTCAACCTAAGTTGTTTTCTTCATCTGCCAGCAGTTCACGACCAAGTAAGACTCTATCGAGAGAAGCTTCTTGTTCGCAGATGTCATCGCAAACTGTTTCAGCTTTGTCGCGAACAATAGCTCCCAGTTCTCAAGTGTCATCTCAGTCACAAGCACCTTATACAAGTTCACCAACTTTGCCACAAGCAGATATCCCTAGTTCGCAGGTTATGTCGCAAATCACTTCTCACTATGCGCAGGTATCAACAGTCCTGCAGGAGTCTGTGAGGGAGCAGCAACCATCCTTTGATGATAGGAGTGCTTCTTTTGTCAAAGAAAATGCAGAGAAGTGCACTAAGGGCGACGATGAAAGCAAGGAAACGGCATCAGATGCCGCTGAACCTAAAGGTTTATCTAGTGAAAGTGCAGTTCAAGAAAGGAGGTGTGCTCAAGCCAAGGCATTATCATGGTTCTGGAAGGTGGTCAATCAGGGCGAGGCAAGGTCAATGGAACTTCTTGGTGATATATATGTAAAAGGAGTTGAGAGGAACTACACCAAGGCAATAGAGTGGATATCACTTACTTCCAAGCAACAATTTTATTCGGCTTATATTGATATGGACTATTTCTACATGAAAGGTTATGGGGTGCGGAAGAAGTTATGCCCCTACAAAAGATCATTTGGAGAAGGGTGAGGATAATGATGAGCTTCGTGGGTTCTCCAACATTGGGGTTATGTATCTGAATGAGCTTGGGGTTAAAAGGGACTTGAAGCTAGCCGGCAAGTATTTGACAGGGGCTGCTAATGGGGGTCAACGAGTAGTCTACACTTGTATATCCTCCATGCTGCAATTCAAACAGGAGACTAATCAGAGGGATACAGTAATAAAAGTGGTTAGCTTGCCGGAGGATATCTTTGCTATGCCCAAATATATAATCAAGGAGGTTTTTCAACCAGTATTTCTGGAAGTCCTAAAGATGTCTACTGATAGAACAGCTGAAGTTCAGATGGGTGTCCTTGCAAAGGTTAAAGCTGTAGGGTGTGCCTTATCCTCAATATGCTCTGAAAGAATCAAACTCATGGCTGAGAGACTTAGAGAGCAGTATCTACTTGTGAAAAGATATACCTTGGAGAGATCAGATGCTTTTGAACTTGTTCAATGTCTTGAGCAAAGTGAGGTCAATTCTCTTGAAAAGATGTGGGAACAAAGGCAAAGGATACAACAGGAAACACAGATGCTGGAAGATGCAAACTTTTGCAACATAAGAGAGCATTCTGCCTCCAGGACCTTGTTACTACTCCTTGCAGAGAAGAACAGGAAGATGCAGCTTCAAGTACTGAAGCTAAAGATCCAGAATGCAATGTTGTATTGGGAAGGAAGAGGTGCTAGAATGAAGTGCAGGTGGGAGATCATGGTTGATTCCTATCACCCACCTTGATGACAAGGTGGTTGTTTAGGGGGGAGTATTGTTATGAATGGGCCTATTATTAGAAATAATAATAAGTGGGCCTATTATTGTAGATAATAATAAGTGGACTTGTATTATAAATAGAAGTACTATAAATAGAAGTCGGGAGTCTAAGAATGGTAGGCAAGTATTCTGTTGAGAATAGGCTGGGAGATTGGGCATCTCGAATAGTCCGAGGCTTGTATACGTTCGATATTGTCTTCTTCTTCAATAGATCTTGTTCCCTGTAAATCTACTGTAATTGTAGTCTGATATATCAGTGTTCTAACAGTCTCTCCTCCTCGTATGCTGCTTATATGTTGATGATAGCATGTGATAATCTTTGGTGTGGATGCAGAACCCAAAGCATGAACTGAAGCTTCTAAGGGAAAAACTTGCCAGTCTAGAGGACAAGATGCATAGTGTAAGCATAATCATGTTAATTGCTTGATATTTTTTTGCTTATTTTCCATGACGGTCAACTTGCCAGTCTGTGGTACTTTTATCCACTAATAATAATAAAACTAATGCGAAAGTTACTTCTTGTTGCTGCTGAAGTGTTATATTAATGTATTTTTTATCATTATATCCTTAAATAAACTCCATATATAATACTTTCTCTGTCCCTATTTAAATTTCTTAGTTTGAATAGCACACATTTAAGGAAATATTTTTTCCCTTTGACTTCCTAACATGTCCTTTTAAATGAGTGTAAATTTTACGGCCGAGTAGGCGAGTACACCGTTTTTGGCACGGTTTAATACTGTTTGACACTGTGCAGTCGTTATAGTTGATTCAATCCATTCGGCAATTTCAACTATTTCAACGAAATTTAACACTCAGGCTCCGAAGTGAAAACCATTTATTGCCTTCTGAAGACATTTCCTATCTCTATTGTGTCATTTATGAAATGCAAAGTGTGTGTTAACGCTTTTATGTAGTCTATATTATATAATGAAAAACCATTTCTCGTCTTCTCTATCATATATACCCTTACTGCACCTTTTTTGCTTTATATGAAAGTGTGTGTAGTTCTATAATAATTAATTCTGTTAAATACTTTATGTGCTTGAACAGGATCGGGTTGAAAGCAGCCTCGAGAAGGCTAAGCTTAGGATGAGACTCCACTGGACCCAAAAGAAGCTGGATGCATTCCGAACAAAACATATAGAGTTGGTGAATGAGATGGATTTCATGAACAAGAAATTTGAGGATGCTTCAAAAGAATTAAAGCAGCGCCTGGCTTTGTGTGGTCATGAAATCCTCAACCTTAAGAAGCAGCTTGCTTCCTACAATGAGGGGTGACGCATTCATTATTTGTAGCCTAGACAGTATAACTACTAGGAGTATATATGTTAGAGACTCGAGGCAGCAAAAGAAGGATGACAAATATTTTGGAAGAGTATACTCTCGAAGGAAGTAAAAGAAGAGTAATTGTTAGTTATACTCTAATAAATGTAGGCGGTTGTTTTACTTACTATAAATAGAAGAGTCGGGTGAAAAGAAGTAGGCTGTTTAGACTCATTTGGTCTGGGACTGGGAAGTTGGAGTATTATCTCCTTCTTTGGGACCTTGTACTCTGTTTTCCGTCAGTAATGGAGTTTTACTGTTTTCTGTGAACTATTTTCCTCTATTCTATGATTGTTATTAGTGTGGAGTTCTAACAGTGGTATCAGAGCACGACGATCTCTGGATGAGACAAACTCGTGCTAAGATGGACGGAAGAATGACAGAAGTTGAGAAGAACATGACGGATATGGCCAGAAACCAGAGAGAATCAGCGGCGAGGCAGGATACATTAGAAACGATGATGGTCGCTATGCAGGCGAGTCTCGTTGATATTCAGAACCGACTTCCTGGTCATGCGCGAAGTAGATCACAGGCATCTTCAGCCTCGCATCGGACTTCTCATCATCAACGTTCGCGAAATTCAGTACCTGATGATGAATCGGAGGAACAGTCTGATCATTCTCCACACCGCAATCATCGTCCTCACAGGGAACACAACACACCTCATCGGACAGGAAGGAAGATCGACTTACCATTATTTAACGGAGATGATGCTTACGGCTGGCTGGTTCGCATCGATCGATATTTCCGTCTTAATCAGATCGAAGATGAGGAAAAGGTAAATGTCGCAGTTGTGGCGATGGAGGATCGTGCACTGAGTTGGTTCCAATGGTGGGAGAACCAGACGAGGGAAAGGAATTGGGATACTATGAAGGAAGCGCTGACTCGAAGATTCCAGCCAGAGTTAGTACACAATCCTTTGGGGCCTTTGTTAGGCCTGAAGCAAAAGGGAACTGTGCAGGAGTTTCGTGAGCAATTTGAGATGGCTATTGCATCGCAGGGTGATTTAAGCAGGAAGGTGACCAGAGGTATTTTTCTGAATGGCTTGAAGAAGGACATTAGAGCTGAATTGAAACTGTACAATACCAGAGATTTGGCAGAATTGATGGACACAGCCCTATTAATTGAGAATAAGAATATGGAGGTGATGTCAAGAAGAAATAAGGAAGAAGGGAAGAAGTATGGGAAGAGCAGTAATTCTGGCAAATCAAGTTACAATCATTGGGGAGATGGCAGTAGAAAGGGGTATCATCAGACTACCACAAATCCACCTGGGAAGGATTCTACAGAGATCAAAAAGCAAGAAGAAGGGACTAATTCTGTATCTAAGAAATTAGGTCCTAGATTGACACAGAATGAGCTGTTGGAAAGGAGTAAGAAGGGGCTTTGCTTCAAATGTGGGGATAGATGGAGCAGGGACCATGTTTGCAGTATGAAAAACTTTAAGATGATGTTGGTTGAACAGTCTGAGGGAGAAGAAGATTCTGACATGAACTCTAGTGAAGAAGAAGAGGCTGAAGTAACAACAATGGAAGCTAGAACTCTGAAATTATCTGTCCTGAGTCAAGAAGGGATCCCATCCATGAAAACTTTCAAGGTTTTGGGAAACATCAGATGGGGGAATCATCAGCAGCAAGTGAATATTCTGATTGATTGTGGGGCCACTCACAATTTCATTTCTCAAAGATTGGTGAACACATGGCAGATACCTTATAGGTGTATCAAAGGCTACAAGGTGCAGATAGGGAATGGGGAATTTCTTCCCAACAATGGTAGATGTGACGAGGTAGCTTTGGAGATACAAGGTAACCAGATTGTACAGCCATTCTACATTCTGGATTTGGGTGGAGTAGATTTGGTGTTGGGAATGGAGTGGTTAACAGATCTTGGGGATATGGAAGTCAACTTCCAGAATCAAATTCTTAAATGGAGAAGACAGGACCAGCTGCATACAATCAAGGGAGATGTAGAATTGAATCAGATGGAAGTTTCATTAAAGTCTATCACTCACATTTTGCAGAATACAGGAGATGGCTATTTATTGTTTTGTGAAGGTAAAGAGCAGGGTTCTCAGCCCAGTCTTGAAGAGGATGAAACCTGGAACAAGGTAATTGGTGAGTTTCCTGAAGTCTTCAAATCAGTGTTGGATCTGCCTCCAGAAAGGGCCTGTGATCATGCTATAAACATCATAGAGGGAGCCAGTATACCTAATCTGAGGCCTTACAGGTATACTTATGATCAAAAGAATGAAATTGAAAAGATTATACAAGAAATGCTTTCTTCTGGGATTATCAAACACAGTAACAGTCCCTACAGCAGCCCCATACTCCTAGCCAAGAAAAAAGACGGTGGGTGGAGATTATGTGGAGATTATAGGGCCCTAAATAAGGTGACTATTCCAGATAAGTTTCCTATACCAGTTATAGAAGAACTTTTAGATGAGTTAGGAGGAGCTAAAGTGTTCTCAAAACTGGATTTGAAATCTGGATATCATCAGATAAGAATGAAGAAAGATGATGCCCATAAAACAGCCTTTAGAACCCATGAGGGACATTATGAGTATGTTGTAATGCCTTTTGGGCTAACAAATGCTCCCTCAACTTTTCAAGCATTGATGAATAAAGTTCTTAGGCCTTTCTTAAGAAGGTTTGCTCTAGTTTTCTTTGATGACATTTTGGTTTATAGTAAATCAAAAGAGGGTCATATAGAGCATCTAAGAAAAGTGTTGACAGCCTTGCAAGAAAATAAACTGGTGGCCAATCGGAAGAAATGTTCATTTGGTCAGAATCAGTTGTCATATTTGGGTCATATAATTTCAGGAGAAGGAGTATCTGCTGACCCAAGTAAGATAGAAGCTATGGTAAGCTGGACAGAACCTCAAGATATCAAAGGGCTGAGAGGATTTCTGGGTTTGACTGGTTATTATAGACGGTTTGTAAAGGGGTATAGCAGAATTGCAGCTCCTTTAACCAATCTGTTGAAGAAGGATAGTTACAAGTGGGACACTGAGGCTAGCAAGGCTTTTATCCAGTTAAAGGAAGCTATGACTACTTTACCTGTGCTTGCCACTCCAGACTTTAATAAGAAGTTCATCATTGAAACCGATGCTTCTGGAAAAGGGTTAGGTGCAGTACTCATGCAGGATGGAAGACCTATTGCATTTATGAGTAAGGAACTCTCTCCTAAGCATCAAAGTAAGTCTGTGTATGAAAAAGAACTCATGGCTGTGGTTCTGGCTGTTCAAAAATGGAGACCATACCTACTTGGGAGAACGTTTGAGGTCCATTCAGATCAGAGAAGCCTTAAATACCTGACTGAGCAAAAGATTATGGGGACTGAGCAACAGAAATGGATCACTAAACTGCTGGGTTACAATTTTTCCATTAAATACAAACCGGGCATAGAAAATAAAGCAACTGATGCTTTATCTAGAAAGCCTGCTTTATTATCCTTATCAGTAGTTTCATGTCAGGAGTGGGTGGGATTGGAAAAAGAATTACAGGAGGATTCAAAGTGTAAGGACATTCTGCAGAAGCTTTCAACTCAACCAGAGTTAATGAAGGATTACCAGATCAAAGGAGGAATACTGTTTTACAAAGGGAAGTTGGTATTACCTAGAGGATCCAGCAGAATACCTAGAATCCTCAAGGAATACCATGAGACGGCTATGGGAGGACATTCTGGATATTTCAGAACTATGAAGAGGATTTCAAACTTATTCTACTGGGCTGGAATGAGAGCTGACATAAAAGATTATGTTCAGGGGTGTGATACATGCCAAAGGAACAAATACCAGACATTGAAGCCTGCAGGTTTACTTCAGCCACTACCCATCCCTAATCATATCTGGACTGATATTAGTATGGACTTTATTGGAGGGTTGCCTAAATCTATGGAGAAGGATACCATCTTGGTGGTTGTGGATAGGATGACCAAATTTGCTCATTTTTTGCCTTTGGCTCATCCTTATAATGCAAAAGGGGTTGCAGAAATTTTTATACAGGAGGTGGTGAAGATACATGGGTTCCCTAAATCCATTGTAAGTGACCGGGATAGTATATTTTTGAGCACATTTTGGTCTGAACTGTTTAAATCAGCTGGTACAACATTGAAGTACAGCACTGCCTACCATCCTCAAAGTGATGGGCAGACTGAGGTTGTGAATAGGTGCTTAGAGACCTATTTGAGGTGTATGACTGGCAGAAAATCAAGACAGTGGGTGAAGTGGTTGCCTTGGGCAGAATTCTGGTATAACACTAACTATCATATATCCCTGAAACACACACCATATCAAGCTCTATTTGGTCAAGAACCTCCCATCATTATCAGGGGTGATGTGAGTTTAACGTCGGTGGCTGAGGTGTCCAGGCTAACTGCAGAAAGGAATGTTATCCTGAAGGAGTTGAGGGATCAGTTAGCCAAAGCACAAAACCAAATGAAGCAACAGGCAGATAAGGGCAGAAGAGAATTGAAGCTAGAAGTGGGAGACAAAGTCTTTTTGAAGATACAGCCATACAAAATGAAGAGTCTAGCCACTCGGATTAATCAGAAATTGAGCCCAAGATTCTATGGTCCATATGAGATCATAGAAAAAATAAATGATGTAGCTTTCAAATTAAATCTGCCAGTGGAAAGTCAGATCCACCCAGTTTTTCATACATCCTTATTGAAAAAAGTGATACATCCTACAGTTACTTATCAAGATCTGCCCAAAGGCTTAACGGAAGAAGGAGAGTTGGTGGTGGAACCTGAGATCGTGAAGGAAACCAGAGTTAGTCAGAATGGGGAAAAGGAAGTCTTGGTACATTGGAAAGGTCTTCCAGAATTTGAGGATTCTTGGGAAAAAGAGCAGGTGATCAGAGAGCAGTTCCCTACTTTCCAACTTGAGGACAAGTTGGGTTTTCAGAGGGGGAGTTATGTTAGAGACTCGAGGCAGCAAAAGAAGGATGACAAATATTTTGGAAGAGTATACTCTCGAAGGAAGTAAAAGAAGAGTAATTGTTAGTTATACTCTAATAAATGTAGGCGGTTGTTTTACTTACTATAAATAGAAGAGTCTGGTGAAAAGAAGTAGGCTGTTTAGACTCATTTGGTCTGGGACTGGGAAGTTGGAGTATTATCTCCTTCTTTGGGACCTTGTACTCTGTTTTCCGTCAGTAATGGAGTTTTACTGTTTTCTGTGAACTATTTTCCTCTATTCTATGATTGTTATTAGTGTGGAGTTCTAACAATATATGTATTCTGTAAAGTTAAAATTAAAGAACGAACCA